TGTGAAATTATACTACTGTCTGATACCTTCCAATACGTCCTAGTATTACATAAAACAACTAACATATAGTAAAGATATATAGACTCTAATATTTGTACTATACTCTTAATAACAATTTACCTCCTCATTTTAAACCTCTCATATCTTATAATAATTTAATACTAATCTACACCTATTTAAAAAAGCCACTCTTATATTAATAACTTCTGTGGTTACATAGATATGAGACTACAAAATTATGTATATAAAGTATAGTGTAACTTCCTTTGTATACATTACACAGACTCAATTCTTGGATATACTGTAGATATATAAGCTCTACTATTATTACAGTATTAAGAGTTTAGAGTATTATAAATCTTAGTCAGAGGAAACTGTTGTATTTTTTATTATCAAATAGTACACAAATACACAAGTAATTGATACATTTAACATTGTATTTGTGTTATGAATGAGTTCTAACTAAATTTACATTAATTTTAAAAGAATAATAAAGAAATTTGGTTAAGAATTGAGTAAGATACAGAGGAAAGTGTGTACTCACTGTATAAGACAGTGAGCTCAAGGTGTGGCAGGTAGGGAGGGCACAGTTGCCATATAAGGCACTCAGCATACTTATTTTATTTTATTTTATTTTGACTTAGAATTTTTTTTTCTATTTAAGTCTAGTATTAAGTATAGTTAGGGAGAAAAGCTTAAAAGGTACCTAATTAGAGGGACTACAAGGGTCTTGTACACTCTCTAATTAGGCCCCTTACAGTATGTCCCTCAGGTGGCTGAAAGTCAGTTTCACATACTATTGTACTAATTAGGGCTCTGTGTGTAGTGTATACACTTACATGTATAATTTTGGTTGTGTATATACTTACACACATAAAAGTAGTCTCTAAGGTCTCTATACACTATACTACATCTGTATACACAGTACAATATGTAAGGAGTTGGTAAACAATGTATTGTAGAGTAGAACAGGCAAAACATAAGTTTATATGTATATCTTTAACTACTGCCTTTAAAGCCTACTTAACAATCATTAAGTTATAAATAGTTCCTAGACTTATACTAGCCCTTGTTACAGACAACAGTCTGTCCTGTTCTAATAAACTAGATAAACTTGTATATTGTCTACTTTTGACATGTACTGAGAGAGATCTTGAGAGTATTAGTAAGCAAATAATAGAGTATGAAGATTATCTTAATAGGCACACAATTTATTCTAACAGAAAAAACTGTTCTTAAATTTTACATCTAGAAACAAGAGTATAGTAAAGCCAGTTGTAACTAGTGTACCAGCCAATCAGAATGTATATAACTCATCTAGTCTACAAGAGCCTATCTGGGCATCTCTACATTACTATAGTAGTTGTGTATTTATAGAGATGTGTACACTCTTACCCTTAATTAACTAGTAACTAATACATTCTGTTAATAACAGCTGGTTCATACAATAGGTAACTCAACTAGAATCACCTTCTAACACAAATAGCTAAAAACAGACTCTAGACAGTATATGAACAATACCAGATCCAGTTCTAATGTAAAGAATACACATTACAGTTGTTTTCATAAATATAGTTGTATGTGAAAATCACACATTTTGAACATATTTAGTTACAAAACTAAGAAAAATCAAGTATATAGACAATTTCTCCTATAATTCTTTACAATACAATATGATTAAGTACTTAAAAAAAAGTAGACATTTAGCTGAGGAATAATACATAAAAATATCTAAGTTTGCCTTACTATATCTTATAAAAGAGGTCAAATGTTCTCAGATTCTGTATCTTTAATTTGAGTCTGTCTAAACAAAAAAAATCAGTACTATCTCTACACAGAATTTAAATTTTTTAAGAGGTCCTAAATTAATAATATAGTCTAAGGATTACTCTAAAAAGTTTTTGAGCAATTTTATGAAGAATTAAAGTGACAATAAGTACATTACTATATAGTATCTATTGATTATGTAAAGTACATACAAACTCATGTACACACATCTTTTTTTTTACATGAGTCTTGTCTGTTATTAACCTATAGTAAGAGGGAAAGTTCTTTCTAATAATACATACAAAATCATTATAAAGCTCTATTAGTATGAATTGTTCTCTGCCTAGTAATTGTCTTGTCTAGTAGATGTTTAGTAACAAACAATTTAACAAATACTGAGTTACTAGAGAGAGACTAGTAGAGTTGAACAAGACATCTTACACAGTTGGGGGCAACTAAGGATATTGAATTATACAGACACTAAGGTGTGTATTAGTCTACTGTATTTTCTTTCTCTTTTCCTTACTTTCTTTCTCTTTTACCTTATTAGACCTTTATAGTATTAGTATCTACTTAGTTTAGTAGACTGTTAATACAACTTATTTTTATTAGAGTTGTAGGATAAACTTTACAATGTATATAGTAAGAAAGTATTAGATAGTACAGTGTAGCAAGTTTTGTGTTAAGTAGGATTCACAATAAAAAGGGTAAGTATTAATATTTTACAAGTAAAACAGTAGTGTTATAGTTCTCTACTCTTGTACCTTTAGTTTTAAGGGTTCTACACCCTTCTATACTAGAACTCAGGACTTCTGTCCCTCAGAGGTACTGTCTATAAACTATATGTGTACTGACTCTTACTACTACCCTTCCTTACTTCATCATTCTATTCCTTTGACTACTCCTTCATTCTTTGTTCATTCTATAGTCTCTTACCCTTTGTCTATCCCTTCATTCTTTGTACCTTTATCTTTAACATTCTTTTCTTTCATTCTTTATAGCTTATCATTCTTAAGTAGCTTATACTTTCTGAGTACTCTTGTGTAGTTTAGTATATATAGGTATACAAGATCAGACTAGTTCTGTAGTCTTAATCTTATCTACTCTAGATAGTTCTATACTCTTAGGCTCACTCTATATACTCTACTCTTATCTCACTCTCTCTCTCTGCCTGTTCTACAAGTTCTGACTATATTCTAGTACTTGTGTTCTGTATTTCTGTTATATAGGATAGTTGTAGCCTGAGTCCCCTTACTAAGCCTTTAGGTCCTCTCTATACTGTTGCTGACATTAGATTAAGACTACCTATTACTACCCTACAACTCTCCTATGTTTTGAGCATTAGTACTTACTGTTGTGTCAATCTCTTTTCTTTGTCTTAACCCTTCTGTTACAATTCTCTACTCCTGTACCTTCAGTTCTGAGAGTTCTGCACCCTTCTGTACTAGAACTCAGGACTTCTGTCTCTTAGGAGTACTGTCTATAGACTATATGTATACTAACTC